GAAGCACGCTTTAAAATCCTTCAGAAACGCCAAGTATATTTGGAAGATGGGTTTGTCTTTCCAGCCGAGGATGAAGAACAGTTTGGACAAAAGGTGAAGGACATGATAAAGAAACACAACTGGGAGAAGTTTTCTTGCCATCCCAAAGACATAGCACCAACAATGGTAATAGAGTTCTACGCCCATCTCGAAGACCCGTCCAACCACACAGTGTACGTCCAAGGGAGGCTCCTTTGATTTTCCCCTTCACCACTCAATAGATACTTTAAGTTGGGGAAAGTGGAAGAGCAGTACAAGTGATTCGTGGCTGAGGCGGATCAAGAAATGTACAATGAAGTGATGTAGGATTTATGCTACAGGTGGGCCAAGTTCAAAGGGAATGCCCCAACGAGGAAAATAGTAGATCATCGAGCCCTAAAACCTAACGTGAAGTTATGAAACCATTTTCTCAAGGGGAAGCTGATGCTAACATCTCACAACACCACTGTCCTTGTGAAGAGATTGATGCTCGTGCACTCGATCATATACGGGAGGAAGATCGACGTTGGAGAACTCATCTTCGAGCAAATCCATGAATGTGCCAAAAGGAACCAGGGTAACTTACTGTTTCCCAACTTGGTAACCACACTGTGCAAGAGGAAGAAGGTTCCTAAGGAACCCTTTGAGGTTTTCATTAAATCCAAAGAGGGTATCACCAAGAAGAAGGTAACCGAGTTGATGAGTTTCGATGATGACGCCCCACATGAAGGTTTGGAGCGGGGAGAAAATCGGTTGTCGTGGCTAGAATGGCTGCTGTAGTCATGCACACTCGAGAAACGCGTGAAAAGATCATATGCCTAGAGGACCACATGGAACTTCGGGTATGTCAAGGCTTGGGACATGCAACTCAATGCCTTCTTCAAGGATTTGCTCCCGAACACTAACACCAGACTGCCGACCTTCCCCAGTGTCATCCTCAAATACAATGCGGGGAACAACACATTACATGTCTCGACATCGCATGTCCTTTCAGAAGCCCCCATGAGTTCCCACTGATGTGCTACCACTGGAAACCCATGTCCCACCCGTACCAGAGGAATGCCAAGGCGACACAGAAGCGTTCCTCAGCTCCTTCTTCTTTTCCACCTTCGAGAGCAGTCAAGATAGCCCACTGAATTTCTTCCCTGATGAAGCTTTTACTCATGCATCAAAGAAACCCGAGCACGGTCTTATACAGTCCCCTATCAGTCAAGCAATACCGATCCCAGCAGCAGATCCTAGTACAACACCAGTTCCAGCACAACCAACTCTTACTACCAATAAGTCAACTCCAGCACACGCTTTGACCAGCAAGAAGTGCTACAAGAGAATGACAGCCCGTATACTTCAGCAATCTCCCTTGGTGATAGCAGAAGTAGACTCGAGATCATAGAGTCCCTCTCTTCCCAAACGTCACCGAACAAGGGCGTCTAGTCAAGCCACCCTACCACAGTGAGTTTCCATTTTAGTTTTAGTTTTTATTTTTTTTTCGCATCTGAATATAACATAATGTAGTTTTAGTCTTCATGCATTGAAAATAATGCATCTCTCAAGTTTGGGGGAGGTATTGTACCATATTCTGTCATACTTTGTTAAAAAGCGGTTGATGATAATTGGTTGAAAATTTTGGTTGACATGACATAAGCATGTTAAGATTATTGTTAGGAATGAATTAGGGATTCTCGCTGATGAATACATAATTTGATTCCATAGGCCAGAATTATTGTTAAGACTGTCTAAAGAAGAGAACCAACCCTAGGCCTGATTCTTTGAAATTTATAAGCATGATTGTAGACTGTCTTTGCTTCAGATAATCTATAAATTTTTAGAAAAGAACTTTCTGTTTGCCGAGACTTCAAAAATATTTTAAGGGTAAAGTAAAAACTCCCTAGTGTTTAAAAACTTGAAAAATAAAAAAGGGACACTCCTCTGTGCAAAGGCATAAACAAAAAAAATCCATAAGAAATTAAGAATATCCAAGATATATGAGTGAATGAAAGTAGTCACAGGGTGACTCTACCCGACTAGCTTGGGGTGGAAGGTATGCTCCCTTTCACCTAGAGTGTGGAACGGTGGGTGTGATGAGCTGACTCCCCTATAAAAAAATAATAAAAAATTAAAAAGTTGATAAATAACTAGGAGTATAAACCAAGCCTGCCAAATAATTTGTTTTCTTGACAAACCAGAAGTGCTTACTTAAGTTTTCTAATTACCTTTATGCATAGGCTGGTTACAATCAAGCACACACTATAGCAAAGAAGCCTGACTAGGGAAGGGACTTGACTGATATGACTGACGAACATGTTGAGGCCAAACATTTTTGCGGAGGGCTGAAATCTCAAACCATATGATTTTCTTAATACTATTTTTCCATAATAATTTTGATTTTCTCCTAGATATTGTACATTGGTTGAGGACAAGCAATAACTTAGGTTTGGGGGTGTGATAACTCTATAAAAAGACTCAATTTCTAGTATTTTCACTTAAGTTATTGCTTGTCTAAACAAAGTATGCACAACATTTTAGTTGCATATAGGTTATGTTAGCATGTGGTGGATAAGTTTTGGTTAGGCAAGATTTATTTGGTTTGACTGATGTTGCTAAGGAGAAAGGGTTGTTTGGATTGTGTTTGTGTAGGAAACTTACAGAGGAATAAAATTTCAGTCGTGACATCGTAAATTTTCAAAGGCCAATGGAACAGATGAGAACGTGAGGAGCAGATTTATCTCGCCGAGGCAAGGTTTATCTGAAGAAGTCTGAAGCAGGTGTGACGAAACCGCCTATGTCACACACCAGCTGGATGACCTACTTTAGGTGCAAGCAAGCCTTAATTATTCTGATAGTCACCAAATGCCTTTCCTTTTTAAGTCTGGACATTTAATAACAGTTATTTAAGGAAACTCCAAAAGCATGTACAACCCTAGAAGATCTTTCCTTATAAATAACCAATCGTAGCCGCTAAAGGGAAGGCAAGTAAGAAGAGGCGTGAGCGAGCAACTACAGTGCTTCTTCATCGCTTACCCACCGACCTTCCTTGGTGTTCTCCATAGCCAGACTTTAGCAAAGTGGTGATCAGGTATCGAGAGAGGCTGATCACCAAGGCATGCGCAGTGCTGATCAGAATCGTCATGAAAAAGCCCCCGGTTTTGGGAGTCATTCTTTTTTCATTTTTAACTCTTTATCTATTTGGGGTTGTATTAAACGTTGAATCTTGGATGATTTTTAATAGCATCATGACTGTCTTACTTGATGTTAAACTTGTTTTTCTTGAACAATATTTTTATGCTTTATGAATGATGAAATATGTTTGCTATTAACTGTTTTGCTCATCGTTTAAATATTTTACCTTACGCTATAAGAGCATCAAGAGATCGCCTAGGGTTCTGGTAAAACATGTATTGGCAATATAAGAGCATCGAGAGATAGCCTTTTGTCTAGATAATGATTCTTAAATTCGAGAGAATTAAGATAGATCCACGTGAGCAATGGAATGAATATGGGATGGTGGAGTTCTAACTTGTTACCTTAGAGATAAGGAGTGAGTTTCAAGCGACTAAAAGGGATAGACGCTAGAGTAGGATAGATAATGGCTATAGTTTACGCTGAGAGGTAATTGTACAACAACAGTTTGACACACCAAGGGTTGTAGTTAACGCTGAGGAGTATTGCCGTAGCAACCGTCTAAGAATACCTTGTAATACTGTCGAGCAGCTTTAGCAAGTCATAATAATTCATTCTAAACTCAGAATAATTGTTGTAAAGCAAAAGTTTAACATAAGTTCTCTGTGATACGTCTGAATATGTGGGGGTTTTTTGCATTATATTTAGATCAACACTTATCTTGTTTTATTTTAGCATTCTGCATACTTATTTTGCCTCGACCAAACTTTCCTACAATCGTTAAATCACTTCTTGTTTTATTAATATTTGTTCTTAAGCTGACACTTAATAGGACTTAGTTTGGGACACTAGTTCTAGTTGTGGTGAAAATATATTTCTTGACCAATCCCTGTGGAGATGATACTCACTTACCCTATATTACTTGAATCGATTGTGTATACTTGCACAGATTTTCTTGCCTTCATATATACATTTACAAGCAATCAGCTATTGTTTACGCTGAGGAGTATTATCGTAGCAATAGTTTGACAAACCAAGGGTTGCAGTTTACACTGAGTAGTATTACCGTAGGAAACGTTTATCAGGTTCGGTGCTAGAAATACTCTTGGAACACTATAGTAAATCCTATCGGGTGACATAGGCATAACATACTAGAATTCTGATTGTGTGAGGTTTTCAGTCTATAATCAGAACTCAAACATTTTCCTTAACAACTTTTATATGTTTACTATTGCATATTTTTCTTGCCACGATAAAACTTTTCTGCTCACTTAACTTCACACTTTTCTTGCCTTGGCATCCTTTTTCCATTTGTTCATACCACTTTCTACTACTTATTTTTCCATTGTGAATACAATTAGACAAGAAACTTAGGATTAGTTAGTGACACCTAGTTTTAGATGTGGCAATCTTTAAAGATTTCCCCCAATCCATGTGGAGACGATAACTCACTTACTAATATATTACTAGCATTGGTTGTGTATATTTGCACAGATTATTGTGCCACAACACACACATTTACTCGTGATCAAGTTTTTGGCGCCGTTTTCTTGGATTGACAACTAGAGGAATTTTGATAAGTTTTTCCATAGCAAATTTTATTTTATTGTCACAATTTTTCTTTATTTGTTTTTTTAATTTCTTTTGTAGGTTTTTATCGTTGCATGAGCATAAGATCTGCTGACGAACATGCTCAGCGTGCTAGAGGGAATATGAATCAACTGTCATATTAGGCTGATAACCAAATGGAGGATTAGGCAAATCCCATGGTCGCAACAAATAATGTTCCCTGAAATGTTACAAGACCACGACTGTTACGAGATCACTCGACTCCTATTATTGATTATCTAAATCCTGGAATCATGGCACCGGAAATTCAGGTAGCCCACTTTGAACTCAAGCCATTGATGTTCAACATGCTAAATTCTATCGGTCAATTTGGTGGCTCACCTAATGAAGATGCTATACAACATGTACGTGCTTTCATTGAAGTGAGCGACTTGTTTAGGCAGCAAGGTGAGCATGAAGACGTGCTAAAGCTAAATTGTTCCCTACTATTTGCACGACCGATCGAGAGCTTGGCTTAGTGGAGTCTCATCCAGATCAATGGAGTCTTGGACTGATTTGTGCAAAATAATTTTGCTTTCATATAATCCGCCTAACATTAATACCCAACTTCTCAATGACGTCACAAGTTTTTGCCAAGGTTTTGAAGAGTTTATGTATGAGTGTTGGGACCGATACAAAAGTTTGCTTTGTAAGTGCACCAACCATGGATTCCACGACCAGACTTGAGTTGTAATCTTCTACAATGGAGTCAACGCACCCACTCGCATGATGTTGGATGCCTCGGTGAATGGTACTCTACTTGAAAAATCACCCGAGGAAGCCATTGATATCCTTGATAGGATAGCCAACAACGATTATCAATTTTTGTCTACTAGGTCTGGAAGTGGAAGGAAGGTGTCTGGGGAATTTGAACTCAACGTCAAGGATTCAATGTATGTCTAACTTTCTGCTATAGCAAATGCGTTGAACACTTTACGGTGTTCTTTCCAGGTGAAAGAAGTTAAGGTAACCAGTTCAGCATATATTTTTTGTCGTAAGAACCATCATAAGAGTGAATGCCCAGAAAATCAGGAGTCTATCAATTTTTTGGGCAATTTTCTTAGAAGCAACAACAACCCCTACTCTAATACCTACAATCCTGGATGACGACAACATCCAAATTTTTCATGGGGTAATCAAGGGACTAACAACAACCATTCAAGCAACCCTAACAAGCCACAACAAAATATTTCTAAACCTAAAAATTTTCAGCCTCAACAGATGCCCTGGCAAAATATTAACAAGGGTTCAGCATCTTCCTCAAATTCTAAGTCCCTCGAAGCTTCACTACAAGAATTCATGTCCTCAACAAAGGCCCTACTGCATGAACACTTTATTACAAAGCCAAGAAGCTTTATTTCAAATTCATAGCTCATCTTTGAGAGCGTTAGAGAACCAAGTGGGCAAAATTGCCACAACATTGCATTCTCGCCCATAATGAAGCCTTCTTTGTGATACTGAGGTCACTAAGCCTCAAGGAAAGGAGCACTACAGTGTACTTACGCTGAGGAGTGATACCCAAATTAATCTAAAAGATAAGCTTGGGGGAAAAACATGAAATTTCTCACCATGACATTACATATGAAGAGTTTGAAGGTCAAGCTGAAATTGTTGAACAATAAGATTTGCCTAAGGGGAAGGAGAAGGACGAGGGTTCAAAAAGTCTTCCTACTGATGGAGGAGAATTTATTGCAACATTAAAAGTTTCACCCCCACCTGCAGTAGCTAAAGTCAGACTCCCTCCACCCTCCCCTCAATGGTTGAAGAAGCATAACGATGAGATCCAGTTTAAAAAGTTTGTTGATGTCCTTGATAAGTTGTATATTAACATTCCATTACTTGAGGCCATTGACCAAATGCCTTTCTATGCCAAATTTTTTAAGGATATTGTCATGAATAATAGAAAGGTGGAAAAACTAGAAAATGTTGCCACGACAAAATAATATTGTTCTGCACTGAGTAAACTTCCACCGAAGCAAAGAGATCCTGGAAGCTTTGTTATATTATGTTCCATCGGTGACAACAATGTTGGGAGAGCCCTATGTGACTTGGGATCAAGCTTAAATATGATGCCCCAGTCCATATTTATTATGCTTGGAATGGGTAATGCTCGACCAACCACCATGATTTTGCAATTATCTGAACGATCACAAATTCGTCCTGAGGGTAGAATTGAAGATATCATTGTAAAAGTAGACAAGTTTGTCTTTCTTGTAGAGTTCCTTATTCTCAATTGTGAGGCCGACGACAATGCGCCTGTTATTCTTGGGCATCTTTTCTTAGCCACAAAGTGCATCTTAATAGATTTTGATAAGGGAGAGTTCACGATGAGGGTGGCTAATCAAAGAGTCACAATTAATGTCTTCAAAACTCTTAAATATATCGATGATTCTGAAGAATGCCATTGAATTGAAGACATGGATTTAGTGGAGGAAGCTAGGGCAGAAATTTTTTGCCAGGGTAAATTTTTACATCTAGAAGAGTATGATACTCAAGGCCAAGATAATACTTTCTAGATAGAAAACTGTGAAATTTTTTTCCATGGAGATACTTTACAACTGGAGGAACACAACAATTTTGGCCAAGGAGATTTTTTTTAGAATGCAGTAAACAACAAAATTTGCTAAGACATATTTTTTCCGATTAAGGAAAATGAAAGAATTACTAAAGATGAATTAAATGAGGAGTTCGAGGACTATTCATTGGAGGTGGAACAGTCTAGCTTATTACAAGCTAGATTAGGTATGAGATTAAAATCCCTTGACTTCAATGAATTCATTCCTCCAAAACCTTCGTTATAGTATGCACCTACATTAGAATTTAAACATTTATCATCACATTTGAAATATGCTTATCTAGGTAGTGATGATACTTTTCCAATTATAATTTCTACTAGTCTAACCCCCTAGTAAGAGTATTGTTCGTTGAATTTTTTTCGCGGCATAAAAAAACTCTTGGGTGGACTATGACAGACTTGAAATGAATCAACCTACCATATGCATGCACAAGATCCAGTTAGATGATTTCCACTACAATTCTATGAAACCCTAATGAAGACTTAACCTAATAATGAAGAAAGTGGTGATGAAGGAAATCATAAAATAGCTTGATGATGGGGTGATCTATCCCATATCCGATAGTTCTTGGGTCAGCCCGATTCAATGCATTCTGAAAAAAGAGGCGTGATAGTGATAAAGAATGAGAATGACGAGCTATTGACAATAAGAGCCATCACGGGGTGGAGGATTTGTATGGACTATCGGAACCTAAACAAAGCAATGAATAAGGACCATTTCCTCTCCCTTTTATCGATCAAATGCTTTATCATTTGGCGGGCAAGGCATTTTATTGTTTCCTTGATAGATATTTTAGGTATAATATGTTAGAAAAAATGTTAATCTGAGATAATAATAATAATAATAAATATTATTATATAATCGAATGAAGTAAAATAAATAAAACTTAAAGTAGAGGCAAGAAATTGGTTTACTCATGTTTAGACACTGATTCGGATGAGTATAGTAACATAAATCGAAGAAGAATTTTGTTGAGGCCTGTATGAATAGTTTTCTTAAGACAGATTCATCCTCTTCTCGGTGCTTTAATTAACGTTGGACGTCGGTCTCCCAAGATACAATAACAAATGATCACAACAGTAAGCACAACTGTAGTCAAACACAATCTTGCCTTTCTCTATCACCGAAAAGAACGAATTTGGAAGGAACTTTCTAAGTATTATCATAATCCAACTTTGTGAATTGTGTCTCAAAGTTGTCTTTGTAACTTGTGTTGTGTTATGTCTTAGAATTGTGCCTTAACTAGCCTATATATAGAGGAGGAAATGGATTGAAGGATTAAGGCCTTTCGATAAAAGGACTTAATCTTTCAATTAAATGACTTATCCTTTTGATGAAAAGTGCTTAACCTTTTCATGAAAGGATTTAATCTTTTAATGAAGAGAATTGTTGAATAGGTATGATTGAATGGATGTAAATTTAAACCAAAAATTAAGTTCATTCATCAAGTGACATTACTTATTATTAATTAGCTATAAATAACACCAATTCATTCAATAATTTTTCCAACTATCCCCCACATGAATGAACTTGACTCAATATGGTGATAGATTCTACGTTTGATACTTGCATAGGATAGGTAGGCATCCCCCTTTGAATATTCCCTTGTGAAAATATGTTTACCTTACTGCTGTCTAGTAGACGTGATGTCCTTGAACTATCCTGTCGTTGGTGTAAGCGATGACATACCTCATACAAATATCTCACTGACAAGAATTTGGTTCTCATGGTTATGTCCATATAGCCGTGGAAATCTCCTGGTTCTTCAAGAGTTTAGAGAACTATGCCCCGTTAGTCTCTTTGAAGCAACTCCAATTTACTATCACATAGGTGACTTATGTTGTTCGGTTCACTGAAACATATAGTTCTCATTAAAAGCATTGTTTAACCTTTTCCACATTTTTAGTCATTATTTTTATCATAGGAGTGGACTTGGGGATAAAAACCCCCCACAATGACCCCACAAGGTCTATGCAAGTAGGTTGTCTCATCGAACTTAGATATTGTGATCTCCAGTCAACTAAGTTGGGTTTTCTTTCACATAGAACCTTAAATATTAATGGGCTTTAGTCACATTCCTTTCAATGTTTATCAACTTGATCTCGATTCAACTTATCGTTTACTGGATCCAAAATGTTATATTTTGATCTTACAAAATCAATATAGATAACTCTATTTGAGATCAATTGTTTAATGATATTATGTCGACGACGTATGTGTCTTGACTTACCATTATACTTATACAAGGCACCCCCACACTTTGATGTAGTTGTAGGAAACCTTTCTACATTTCCATAACTCATATGGTTTCTCACCTATTTTCTTGTAAGTTGCCTTATTTAAAGGTAATTTTCTAATAAAATAACTTACTCCACATGTTCTGTGACAACTCATAACATGGCCAAATGTCATTCATAATTATTTAGCAATCTTATGGATACTATACACTTCTTATGGTGTATCTGACAATTCATTCAAGATGTAATTCTGACATAGAAACATAGAATAGTTTCAAGCTTTAATGACAACAATGTCTATCTCATCCTCTCTATGAATAGGAGGATCATCCTATATTTGACCATATTCAATATGATTAAATATAACATCTTATGTCGCTATTTCTTGAAATTATATCCATGAATTTCACATACTTCTCGTTGTGGCTCACAACCACAGACATCATTAAATTTTATTCAAATTCTGAATAGGAATCAACATTTCAAATCACGAGTTAGGTGAATCAGTGGGGTTACCATTGTTTCATTTAAAACACGTAACCAGAATTTGTAAATATTCCAATAATAATTTGAAAGTTAATTCAATTTATTTTATCATTTGTTTTTGTTGAACAACAAAATTTAATTAGAAATTAAAATTACAAAACAAAATTAGTAACAATGTTGTTACCTCCAAACGATTTCTGTTATCAATAGTAAATCAAATAAATTTTGTTGAACAACAGGATAAAATCCTGAAACATAATTATAGGCCCGATTTTTGTTCACATACATATTAATTTCATTCGGTACCTTATTTATCGCAACAAATTTTAGTCAAAACTAAAATCCAACAATTGAGTAATTTTTGTTAAACGAAGTGAATTTAGTAAAACTAAAACCCTAAACAAAAATTTACAATCACCATTATTTTGTTGATTCCGTTAAATGTCAGGATTTAAACTAAAATCCGAAACAAAACCAACTTCTGTTGGACAACAAGATTAAAACCCAAAACAAAACCACTTTCGTTGAACAACGAGAATTTAATAAATTAATTCTCGAAACATAATTAAGTTCTTTTGAACGATGGGAATTTAATAAAACCCGAAATAGTAGTATAATCTCAATGTATAGATATTACAAAAGAAATATTGAATGGTTACACATACCTTTTCGATTTCTTGATCAAAATTCACCATTTGTAAAAAAACTATGAGCTTTATCACGTTAGACCAAGGTTTGTCCTTAATTTTGAAACCTGCAAAATGTTTCATAGCGAACTTGAAAAGGTTTTACAAAATATTTCATGTGTACCTTATCATCGAATCACCAAGTACGCAACCATCAACAGACGTAATGGTTAAAAAAATCTTCACAATGTAGTGATTCATACAAAAACAATATCATTTGCAAGTTATCCACGCAAGTTGTGCCAATACACTTGACTTAAGTCTCCAAGGTTGGTTTCAATGATGAGGCTCGTAGACTAGACTTAACCGTGTAATCACTAGTTTGAATACCAATGTTGTTGCAAATCGTGCTAACCAACAATTTAGAATGAGTTGTAAATGTCTCCCTATAGTGTTTGTCTTAATTTAAAAATCAATAAATCACTTGTTCATATATCTCGGATTAGAACAAAAAATTATTAGAATATGTCTTAAGATTGTTAGAAAAATGTTAATCCGAGATAAAAATAATAATAATAAATATTATTATATAATCAAACAAAATAGAATAAATAAAACATAAAGTAGATGCAAGAAATTGGCTTACTCATGTTTAGACATTGAATCAGATGAGTAGAGTAACATAAATCGAAGAAGAATTTTGTTGAGGCCTGTATGAACAGTTTCCATAAAACAGATTCGTCCTCTCCTCGGTGCTTTGATAACGTTGGAAGTTAGTCTCCTAGGATACAACAACAAACAATCACAACAGTAAGCACAACTGTAGTGATCAGTCGAACACAATCTTGCCTTTGTCTATCACCAGAAAGAATGAATTTTGAAGGAACTTTCTAAGTGTTATCAAATTTAACTTTTTGAATTGTGTCTCAAAGTTGTCTTTGTAACTTGTGTTGTGTTATGCCTTATAATTGTGCCTTAACGAGCTTATATATAGAGGAGGAAATGGATTGAAGGGTTAAGACCTTTCAATGAAGTGACTTAATATTTCAATAAAGGACTTATCCTTTTGATGAAAAGTGCTTAACCTTTTTATGAAAGGATTTAATCTTTTCACGAAGAGAATTGTTTAATAGTTATGATTGAATGGATGCAACTTTAAACCAAAAATTAAGTTCATTCATCAAGTGACATGACTTACTATTAATTATCTATAAATGGCATCAATTCATTCAATAAATTTTCCAACATAATCATATCGCCAGAGCACCATAAGATCAAGAGAAAATCACTTTCATGTTCTATATGGAACATATTCATTTAGGATGATGCCATTTAGATTATGCAATGGCCCGATAACTTTTCAGAGTTGTATGATAGCCATTTTTTCAGACAAGGTGGAGGACTTCTTGGAAATATTCATGGATTATTTTTCCGTCTCGCGTGATAACTTTGACTGATGCCTCAATAACTTGTCTAAAGTACT